CTAAGTTTATTGTATCTTCTAAACGCTCCACAACAACTTGCAGATTTGTGTCTCTCACAATTTTGCTTATACTTATGTCACTGCATCTTTCAGCATGAACATTTTTATTCATTTTTATTTTTTCCAAGCTTTTTAAAGACTTTTTTGTACTGGATGACTTTCTAAACATGATATTGTTTGTTACATACACAGAGTACCACCCAGGAGGCACAATGTTACGTTTAGTTCTACCCAAAATTTCATTACTTTCATCCTTCAGAGGAATCTGACCAGTCTGTTTTAATGTTGCACAGTCGCCTTGTGTATTTGGCAGTTTTGCCTGGCTAGCTGCAATAGCACTGTTTTCTGAAAGAACCAAAAAGCTGGAGCTGGTCTGAAAATTAGTAAGAGGTAGTTTGAAGGACTCTGTTTGGTGTACTGGAAAGCACATTGGTTTGGTTTGGCAATTCACAAATGGATTTCTTTCAAGATGTTGCAAAGTCTCATCCTCTATCACAGTAAAACTATGTCTTTTATTTGGATGCATTTTATCAATTTTTTTTGGAGATTTCTTTGTATTTCTCTCAGAAATCGACTTTTTTCTTACAAGAGTTCCATCAAGGCTTGCAAGCTCCCTCTTGATTTGCAAAGACTGTCGTCGAATGACTGGTGAATCAGGAGAATTATATGTTGCAAATAAAGTTTCCTGACGCTTGCGAAATCTTGTCTGGATAATTTTATTTTCCACTTGTTTATCATGTTGGTGAAGTAATTCCATAAAGCTGTAATCACTTGCCTTAGCATTATGCAAAAGAGAAGTTATGAAGTCTCCTAATTTGACATCATTTTCTGGTGCCCTGTCACTGCTTGAAAGTTTTACAAGATTTGTAGCTAAATCTGTAGTGTCTATTGATTTCAACTTCTCATTAATGCGGTCCATTAAGTCTTGAAAAATGGCAGAATGTTCACCTTTCTCAGAGTTCATATGACCATCACTGCTTTCTTGGTCTGCTGATACCAGTGCTCCATCTGAATAATCACTCTCTTTTCCTTTGCACGTTTTACCCTCATACTCAAATTCTCCCTCGCTTCCTTCAGCTGGCAAGAGGGATGGAGGTTGGTTGATGGATATTTCAAGCTTGTTGTCTAAAGTTGGAAAATCCATAACCATTCCTTCTGACAATTCAAATTCTTTACTGTGTACAGGTGACAGTGGAGGTGGCGAAGGGCTGCGGGATCTGTTTGAATTTTTAATGCTGCTTAAGAGGTCACAGTCCTTAGATGAATATGTACATGCTGCTGCTTTCACAGAATGCCTGCTATAACTTTGCAATTGGTCAGCACAATACTTAGGAGAACTACATGCTTTGTTCACCATTGTCTTAATACATCCAATTGCTACAGCTTGGCATGACAAAGAATGGAAATCTTTAATACAAACAGACAGAGGTGGTAAACAAGTATTTGGCCTTTGATTTTGTGAACAGCACCTTTTTGTCAGCATGTGTCCATTGCAACTGCAAAATGGAACGTGAACATCCTCTTCAGTAGGGGAACTGGGAGTTTCAGAGTGGACCGAATGTGTTTGCTTGCAACTGCAAACTATAGGAACATTTTCATCCTGTATTAGGAATTTTAACATAGCCAAAGTCTGTTGCCAGTGATATGAACAAAAAGACTCCAAAACTTTGTTTAAGGTTGATTTTCCTTTTTCCAAATTAGCTGTTTCCTCTGAATTTGCATCAGCTGTTGAGCTTGAACTGAAAATGAAAACAAATCAAAACAAAATATAAATTACAGTAAAACACCACATCTAATGTTTGTTATACGGTTAAACTCAAGCCTAAAACCCTGACATTTATAAAACAGTTCTGTTCTATTTGCAGTATTCAATCATACTTGCAAGTGTCACTAGCAATGATGTGCATCTTATCAGTGATAGGACTAAACTACCATTAAGAAAAATAATCATGAAGTAATTAGAGGCAAAAAGAATAATTTGAAATACAGCTTCTTGAACCTAACTGTAACTACAACGTTAATTTTCTGGTATTTCCAACTATCTTAGTTGGTGAAAGAAACTATTAGTGAAAGAAAACCTCACCAAGAACCTGGCAAGCTTGGTATTACTCCCATTTCACTAACTGGGGCACAGAGAAGGTAAATGACTGAGGTTCAAGGTTGTGGCAGAGGAAAGAATGGATCCATATCTCCTGAATCCCACTCTTAGATATTTAAATACTCAAGTGTATTGAGTGCTCTTCAGGATACACTTAAAGGTATTTCTAAAGACATTTTTATTTCTGTATTTATTTTTAAAGAACTCTTAACAAGCTAACGACAAATGGAAAAAAAATAGCCTAGCGCTCTTAGCAGATAAAATTTTCCCTTTCAGTTCTTAAAAAAATTGCAGTGTTGCATCACAAGCTCTTCACTGCAATACATTAAAGGCACATGTGTGTGCACACACAGATTCCTTAAACAGAAAGAGAGATAATCATCACTGGAATAAGTAGAGATAAAAGTTAATATCCTTTAAATATCCTTTAAACAGGGTAGGCCTGTATCTAAAGATTGCTGAGCAATTGTTCTCAAATGTATTAACTAAAAAAAAACCAACTTATAAAATACTACTTTAACTATTTAATCAATTTCTTATAAATTATTAAAACTAATGTCACTACTTACCTAATCAATCATTTATACTGAAAAGCTGAAAAATTTCCATGGTAGAAATTAATACATGTATTTCTTCAATTAAATACAAAATCCTTATGCTGTATAGCAACTATCAACAGATAGTTAACACCTATTTCAAATGTTTTATTGAAACCAATTGCATGAGCAGAAAATGTTGGAAGAATTCTGTTTTAGAAAAGTATGCATAGTTTAAACATATCACCAAACTCTGAACATGACACTAACGTGTTTTTCCCTACTGTTATCCCCTGTAATTTTTTTGTATTTAAGCCTATATTTCAAAAAATTTTCATTTTGATTTGTTTTACAACTGTACTGATCAATGAACAAAGATATTTAAAATTAAATGTGCTGTATTTAAATATAGTTACCTATTCTTTAATTAAATCATACCCAAAATTATTAGCATCAGTAACTTTCAGCTTCAAGTTTCTTACTGGAACTTACTACATGTAATCTTGCATTTTTAGTGTCCTAGACAGATTTTAAAATTTAGAGCTTAAAACCAGCCAAATGTGCATAATTCCTTTTTTTTTCCTTCTCCTATAATATTCAGTATGAAATTGTATACATTCAAAATCAGGTGTCCAGATGATAGTAACTCATAAAGGCATAAGATAATATTTAATCTGAAACTATTAAGTCTTAAAAAGAAAAAAAGTCCTCTTTGCACTTGCAATCTAAAGTAAACCCTGCATTACTCAAGGGAGTGTCAGTGTCAGGATTTGACTCTTTTTGAAATGCCGCTACACTGAGAAAAAACTGACTGTTACTCCAACAAATTCAGGAGTCACAAGGTACCAAAATCACTACACTTGCAAAAAGAAAGCTTATTCTAATAATACAGTTAAGGATAAAAAAAAGAAAGCTTATTCTAATAATACAGTTAAGGATAAAAAGTAATTGCCCTCCCCAGCATCATGATTTTAATTAATGTTTTGAAAGGATTAAAAAACCCCAAACATAAACATGCCACTAGGCCTTCATCTTCCATATTCTGTTCGTAAACCAGAGTAAATTTGTTAAGTACTGATTTGCTAAAAAGATAGCTATAGCAGTCTTTTTTTAGACCGAATTTCTAATCAGGTACCTTTTTATCTGTCTAGACTTACAAGGTGTGCCTATCCTTTCACTGGAGAGCTTTAGCTATAGAGGGCCTGTTTCCATAACTGCTATTTAAAGTCTGTTCACTGGTGAAATAAACTTCTGGAGTCTTACAACCTTCTCAAAGTGAGCAATCAAATCATCCACAGGCCTCAAAACTGTTTTGAATTTGATATGTGGGGATCAATTTGTTGTAGAGAGCAATATTCTGATTATCAGAGACATAATGGTCGTTTTTCTAAAACAATTTCTGTCCTGACTATCCACCCTTGTGTGACATCTATAATCTGCTTTCCCTTAACATGCATTAGTTTCCAAAGCTGATGGACAACAGACAACTTTCATCTATTCTACTGCAATAGTTCCACAGTCCAAACGATCTTCCAAGTTTGTAAAAACACACTGAGCTCTTACTCGGTGACCACTTGGAGCAGAGCTTACTACAAAAACAAATTCAAGCATTAAAGCAACACATTTTCCTTGAAGTATCTCCCTGTAGAGATGTCAATATACTTAAACATACTAATTTTTAGTCGCTTTTCAAGACAATTATGGAATTATACTTCAGTTTCCTGTATCTCATTAAATTTGTGTTGTCACACTGTAGTTTAGACTATCCTCAGGACAAAAGGCTTAAGCAATAATTTCACAGAAGGAAGACCTATGACTTTGACCAACTGCACACTTCCTCCAAAACCACAGACAAAAAGATGGCTGGAGAGAATGGGCAGGAAACTGAGGGGTTAAGAGGTGAGAGGATCAATATGCACTGCTACCCTTGTACCTTTTGTATCGCTCAAGGCAAAGGTTAAGTAGGGAATGATATTTCCCTTCTGGCAGATAGAGGCAGTTAATAACATGGAGTGGGGATTGACTAGAGTACAAAAATGGCACAAAGGCAGCAATGTGATAAGGTTAATTACCAGACTTCAGTCTATTAATTTACATATAAGAAAGTAAAACTTTTCCTCCTCCACAAAAACTATCAGGGAAGAGCTCTATCAGAGGACTCCCAAAAGAGGTCCTTCCCGTCATCTCAGCCACAGAGAAGACAGATCACTCTAGCAAGATCTTAACAGACCGGGAACAGGAACAAAACTGGAACAGAACATAGTTTCGAGTACTCATACAAACAGCATGGAACTATTATAGAAATATAAATCTGTCTTATACAAATGTTTGTTTTCTGACTTTATTATGTAAATAAGCACCTCAAAAAAGCCATATACTATTTATAATATTTAGCCTCCAACTAAAGGGGGTGTTAGAAAATTAATTTTCTGATTTTCTTGTTAGTAATTAATCAATTCTGAGAAAAGAAACCATCCTTCCTTAAAGCTACTATTTCTGATAAAATTCTCATAGCAAATTAGTCATTATGAGCTTAATTTGTACAGTTCTTGGTCTTATGCCACTACTAATCAACTTGTGCCTCAGGAATAAGTCAAATAAGTCAGTGTACAGGTTTTTGTTTCTTTCTTTTTTTTTACTGAATGAGCAAATCAATCACACATCAGTGTTGTAAATTTATGTGCAAAAGCATTGAAGTGCTTTACTACAAATTACAACGTAGAAACACGTTAACTAAACAATTAAATTCATACAATCAGATTTAGGAATATAACAACACAAAGAAGAAACAGAATTACAGTACATTTACAACACAAGACAAATACATGGAATTCATTAGAAAATATTGTAATAAATAATTCATGAATTATAGTGCAATTGATTTATGCATAAATATAACTAATTGCCTAAAAATCAGTTGTTAACAAAAATCTGTCAAAAATCAAGGCAGCCACAGAGTTTTACTAAATTACTGCGACAATGGAAATACTGCAATTAAAAAACAAATACAAGTATTTGTACTGTAAACAACTAAAAAAATCAGTCTCACTAAAGTTAATATACAATTTAATATAAAATTGTCATTAGCTACCAGAAATGGTTTAAACAACTTTACTGAGCAGTAGTTCTAAAAACAGAGGCACTGTTTTTTAATATAAAATACTTGAGAAACATTCAAATAAGTAGAAAGCATGTAGGGCTTGCTTTCGCCTTCATTTAAAATTCTGCTGAAACAGGAATTTTCAGAAGTTGTCAATTACTAAGTAGTGACTGGTAACTGAATTTATAAAACAGTTCAAAATGTATAATTTAAATGACATTAATGAAATACATAGGGGTTGGGGGAGGAGAATTTACACATTTCCCTGCCTTTCCTTAGCTGTGTAATTAAACATTAGCCTAATAATTAGAGACAAATAATTCTGTTCTTTAAACACTTACAGGTTGAAGTATCATCTATAAACTATCAAAAAATATTTTAATTACTATTTCTGACCAAAAAATAAATACAAGTACTAAAATGTTGAAAATTAATTATAATATTACATACAAAATTACTGAGTAGTGTTAAGTCAATAGTAAAATGATCCCTGATTTTATGAATCCTGTTAAATTTTTGGTCAGGTCATCTTTTAAATGATATAAAAAGAGTACTGTCACTTGCCTTCAATATAAAGTTCTGATTCAAATTTCTAACAATGTCTGAGGAGTAGAAAACATCAGTATGGTACAAATATTAGGCAATGTATTGAAGCCCCAGATTTTTGCAAGTAAAACTGTATAAAGACAGATGTTGAAACTTTTAAGGTTTTTTTTTCAGCTGCATTTTTCAGTGGGGATATATTCACAAATTAATCCTTCTGGCCCTCACAAAATATGGCTTAATTCTTTTAAAACAAAAGATGACCCTGACATCTGCTGTTCTGCAAACTCCTTATCAGGTACATTTCTGCTTAAAATCATAGAATCACAGATTAAGCTGAGTTGGAAGAGACCCACCAGGATCACTGAGTCCAACTCCTGACCCTGCACAAGACACCCCAAGAATAATCATGTGCCTGAGATTCATTCTGTAATATGCAAGTAAACCTTAATGACTGAAGAAGATTCAGTATAGATCTGAGAGACCAAAGAACTGAGATACTGGTAGTGCAGTTTCAAAGGATTATTCTGTTTTAAAGTGGAAGTTGTCATTTTTCAGTAGTGTTAATAGACGGGCTAGATTTTGCCACCAGTATTGCAGTATGCTCTCCACTGATTTTAATGGCAAGTTTATCTATAAATGAAATTACCTGATGTGTCTATATGTATCTAACGTCACATTTAATTTTTATAATAAACCCATACACATGCAAATTTAAGTGGGGAGAAAAAAATGTGTGCATGTGTAAGATGTATATAAAAGTTGGAGAAAGTCTTTTTTTTTAATGCCAAACTAGATACATACAGAAAAAATTACATGTTGAGAGGAAAAGGGCATTGATGTTCAGAAATGAATGTATGAAGCAAGCCCCCATTCATATGTAGACATATACTTTTGATATTACATAAAAAAATTAAGTGTGATAAAAAGTCCAATGTGAATACTTTGAAATTCATGTAAAAACTGCAATATGAAGGTAATTGGTCTCCCTTAAATTCTATTAAAAGTTACGTATTTAAAACGAACTGCCTAACTTCTAACTACCAAATTTATAAAGAATTTATGTTATTGAAAGTTCAAAACAGTTTCACTGTTTCATATTTGTATTTCTATCAAGACCCTGAACTGCAAATTTGGTTATTAGCAAGATGATAATGTAACTTGGTATTCATTTTGTTAAACTGAAAATGATTTGAAATGTCACAGCAGCAAATACATTACAGTTACAGTGAGGTTTTTCAATAGGAGTGTGACACAATCCTTAAATAAATTTTAAGTAGTCATAACATCAACTAACCAGCACGTTTAAACAAAAAAACAAACAAACCCAAACCATTCTCAAGCTCATTCTGTGCACATTATGAACATGCTCTAAGATGCATTCCAACTTTCTTTTTAAACTTTACAAGTTACCTTAATTGTCAAACTAAAAAGGAAAATTATGTTAAAGTTTAAATTATTTTATGCTCTTAGTATTCCATCTTATTTCATATTTAATAATTCTATAACTACAGTAATTTCTCAGATTTCATAAGTGTACACTTTGTAAACACCAATTTCTTCCTAAACCAACAACAAAATTTTCTTAAAATGATAAAAAAATGCAGTTTATGCCTGCTAAACACACATTTTTGTAATGAAATGTTTTTCTTACTTGTATTGGATATTTAAATAACGAACTTTTTTCTTTCACAGAATGTACTATATCCTACTAATACTTCACAAATCCACTTCCTTGTGAGGAACTATCTTTTTTTTAAAAAAGAAATCCCTTGCTGTGTATAATCTGAGTTACTTACAATTTATTGCAAGTATTCTGTGAACTATAAAAGTCTGCTAACCCTTGGTTGTGTATTTCCGCAATAAGATGGATAATTGAATGGGTAAAGTGGTTCTTCACCAATTAAAAATTATGCTTCACATGACAAATACTTGTTTTCCCAAAACATCTTTATGCTAGTGACTACTAAATAAACCTGAATCTTTTCACCTATTTATACAAGGATTATATTAAATACACACTATCAGAATTAAGTGAGCAACTCTATAATTCTGTCCACAGTGAAAACCCTGAATAAAACTATTTTTCAAAAGGCATGTATGTGGTTTTTGAACTGTATCATTTCATGTCTTCTGTCAGAGTGAGCATATGTATTTCTCACATAGTGTGTGTATACAGACATACATACACACACACAAAACAATTTGCTAACAATTATTCTACACAGGCTTGCTACTATTTTTGCAGCTGCCAGTCCCTGAATCTGTCATATTAAATAAGCCAGTATCTGGTAATCGGAGTTTCTTCTTCGGTGGAGTCTTCAATGTTCCAGATCTTTCTTTTACTTTATATTCTAAAGTGCTGTGAGGTACCCCATAAATTCCTTGTGCTTTGGAAACACTCATTTTCCCACTCATTACCATTGCAATTGCTTCTTCCATTATTTCATGGTCATACTGCCGATAGCGGCCACGTTTTTTCCTTGGTTGCTTATTATCTTTACGATCCAAACTATCTTCTGTATTTTCTGAGGTTCCATCTACTGTCCCATTCTTAGCATTAAGACACAAAGGAGAGAGGTCCCCATGCAGAAAGTAGGAGTCAACACTTGAGTGAGTTACAGGTCCAGAACATTCAATTTTGTTCTGTTTAGGGAGGATATTTTTCAATTTTTGAAGAGCTGATCCTTCTAAGACTGAGGAGGTTTTAGAAACGTGGTACATAACATCCAGAAGACCAGCAGTATCAGACTGTGGTTTGGACACAGAACTTATTCTTAGCTGAGGAATTTTTAATTGTACAGTAGGGCTTGAAGTTTCATATTGTAGATTTTCACTTTTTTCTTTAAACTGAGTGACCATTCTCTGTAGAGTTAACTGGTGGAGGTAACTGGAAGCTGTTGGGAATTTTAATTCTGAGGTTTCAAGTAGACTGAGTTTACTTTTTTCTGTGCGCTCTGCTTGAGCTCTTGCCCACAAGGCTACTTTTTGTAGGACTGCACAAGTTTCTTTACTGTCTTTAAATGAATAACTATCATTGAAATCTCGAGTTTTATTTTTAAAAGGTGCAGGCTTTCCTGCTGGTAAGGCTTCTAAGTGGAGAAGTAAAGTTTTTTGAGGTATGCCATAAAGTATGCCTGCTTTATTTATGTCCAGTGCTCCAGACTGAATGTCTTTCAAAGCTTTTGAGAGCAAACCATCTGCAAACTCAGCACTTCTTTCCACATAGTCCTCTCTGTTTCTGTGTAGTCTCCTGGATGGATGGAATGAAACGATGGTAAACTGATGTATGAGAGACTCTCACACAGCTATGGAAGGGAAGGGTCCACTCCTTTATTATACTCCTTGCTTCGGTAACATCACTGCTTCTGATACTTTTTAGCCTTTGAGATGTGGTAGTTAAATGATTATCCTAACAAAATGTTACAGTTCTGGTAGGACAGTGTCAAAAATCATACCGTGGCTTCTACAGCAGCCCTTCCAAGAACTTTATATCCTAGCCCAGTATTTGGTAATAGTCTCGTGTGCTTGCTATATATTCCCTCGTTCACATGCTTGCAGAGCAACACTTGTAATTTTAATTACACAATTAACGTTCCATTAGAGACCCAAATCCTGAAGGAGTTTTTGTTAGTAGAAACGTGACGTTACCGCTAAACAAGTAATAAAAGAGTCAACCCCCTCATAGGAAACTTGCAGCAATAAGTACATAACTACACACAAACATCCCAGACTTACACAAAACTAGGCTTTCTACAACAAGAAGATAAAGTGCTGTAGTTAACAATCAAGTCCATTTTTCGCAAAATAAGACAATTTCTAAAGCTTCTACTCACTATTTACAGCTCACTTATTACAAAGCCATTCATTTTCAAACTTTTTCATATCAGCAAATTAATAAAGTGCACTTTTACATCATTCAACAAATGCTGCTACTGTAGTCCTATTCGTAGTAAGTTATTTGTAAGACGTACAGGTGACAAAAAGGGTCCTGCTATGGCTAGTGGATGGGAGAATGCCAAGATCATAAAATCCAACAAAACAATGCAATTCACTAATTTTGTGGTAGCTTTCAGCAGATGCAATAATGTTTTCCTTGCTGAATAAAGAAATTTAACTATTTGCCACCACACACCATAGTCAGAACCATGATGCAAGTATAAGTATGATGATTAAGAGCTCTCTCTCACGCGCTTGCTCTCTCTATTAATAAATATTATAGATAATAGTCATTTAACTTGTTCATGTTATTTGAAGAAGATTTGACATCTAATTATTAACATGGTCATTTTTGTCCAAAATTGAAGTTCCCTAAATAAATTCTAAAATATTTGCATTTTCTTCTACTAGTCTCTTAATGTGTTATGTAATCAATTTTCATGTAATTTTTAGTAACATGAACTAAAGTTTGGTGATTGTTCTGATAACTTTTCTTTAAACAGAAAAAAAAGGAAAAAGACAAATGAAACATATGATATATACATAGACACACACTTATGAGTGACAAAAATTCTTTTGAAAGCAAAATAGGAACCACATGTGTGTGCCAGTATATACAGGTATGTTATGAACATAAAACCTGGCCAGAGAAAAGAAACCTGGATTGTCTTTTTGATAAGCCAAAGAGAGTCCTAAACATTGCTTACCCAGACACTGAGTTTTCAGAACACAATGGATCATATTTTGGTTCTTCCAACCTTGCGCTTTTCTTTGTAGAGAGATCTAGCACTCCATCCCCTGCAAAGAACGAGTAGTGATGATAACAGTGGTTTTAAGGAAGATCTCAGAGATTTTTCTCAGCAAATGTATTCTCACCTATGGCACAATGTTCAAACAGATACTTTATCTTGTAAAATTTCTGACACGTTATTCCATTAACAGTATCAGCCATCAGAAAATGATTTTGTATACTTGATTTGTAACCAAACTTTTTTAAATTTGAGAAAAACAAAAAAAGTAAACCCATTCAGAAATAAAATTTAAAAGAACCTGTATTAACCAAACATGACTGCTTTCCTAAAAATCACTTTTTACTTTCAAGGCAACCAAAACAATGCACTTGACATTATAATTATTATTTATATACAGTAAAGAAACACACAATTCTGATGCTGAAGTTGAACTTGACATAACTAAATCCTAGCCTTACAGAACAATTCAAGCCAATAAGGATTCCAGGAGGCCTCCAGACCAACCTTGTGCTCAGAGCAGGGTCAGCAATGACACCAGACCAGGTTACTGGATGAGCAGGTACCAGTAACTGGGTAACTTCCCAGTAACCAGTAATGTCCCCATAACTGGGAAAAGAGCTTGAGCCCAATACAGAGTTCTAACACTTCAATTATACATACTCCTCCTGCTGCCTCCACATATATGCAATAATATTAGAAATTAGAAAAATTAAAGACCTAAAGTAGGGTGGGAGTCCACTCCGTCAAGTCACTGGTAAATGTTAAATTAAAGATTTATAATTGGCTGTTAAAGACTATGAAGTATTGAAATAGAAAAACATACTTTTTAAAAATCAGTACTTAAAAACATTAACAGTTGAAATACTACTTTTAATTTTTTTTTCTTAAAAAAAATCAATTACATTTGAATTATAATTAAATCCCCTAAATATATTTAATTTCATACCTTTCTTCCTTGGTTCCCTCTTTCAAACTTGGGCTGTTTTGTGTGCCTGAGCTCTGCGAATTCAATTTTAAGTTTCAACATGTAGCTCAACATTCAATTCTATAATCACCCTTACACTACCCCTTATTGCATTTACAGTGTCATTTTAATGTTACTGCCTATTATTTCTAAAACATCAATCAATCACACATATTTTCCCATAGCTTCAGATGCAGACGATGAAGCATTGGTTGAAGGATCCAAATGCCAACCACCAAATAAGAAGTGAAGAAAATTGTTTGGGTAGCTCTCCTTTATACCAATAATGCAAAGTAATAGAGTTCGTGCAATAATCAAATTCAGAATTTTTTTATTTTTTTTTTTACTGCTTTTTGACTGTTCTTCCACAACTATTTTGTACTATTTGAAGGAGGTCAAAGAGAGAAAAAGCAACATCACAACTCAGCATTAGGGGATGAATATATATAAATATACCACTTGGCAAAGATGCTCCTTTTCACCTGAACACATACCTTTCAAAATCTTTCATAAGAAAGTTAGAGTAAGGACTAATGCTAATCAGCCTTCCTGATTCATTGATATTACAGAAGAAAAAGCCAATTAAGAACTCTACAAAAAAATTCTATGTAGACTTTTTGGCCAACCCAGGAATACCCAAGCTCAACCCAAAGTCCCTTAGTCCTGTGCAACAGACAGATTTCATCTGTTGTGTTCTGTCAGTGGCACAAAGTACATCTCCCTTTCTTAAGTGCTTGTGTGTTCCCTTTTGCAACAGTCTCTCCATCTTCAGTTGATACAGACATCACAAAAAAGCTTAGAAGACATTACTGGGAAAAAAAAAAACTACTTCAAAGTTGACAACTTATCAAGCAATAAAAAGCTAATTGTCTCTCCACCCATTTACAAAGAAAAAAAAAAAGGCAAAGCTAGCTAGACTTTTAGTAAAAGAAAAAGCCCCAACAAATAAACAAAATCCAAAGGCTATTTTAAGACTCCATAATGAAAATAATTTTCATTCCCAATCTTTCAGAATTGGCTTTGCCAACACCAGGCTACCAATCAGCTGAAAAGTGATTAAAAGAACACAGCAGTGAAAATTCAGCCTTCTGAAACAAAAAACTAGATACATTTTCCATCTCTAAAGGATATGCAGAACTGAAGTAATTTGAAGTTCAAGACATTTGGTTCTTCCAACACAGCAAATGCAGATTCATTAAGTACATGACAGCCCCCTGAAGACAATGCTTTATGGGAAGATGATATTCAGTAAAAAGAATCATAAAAAATTTGATATACATGCAAAATATCAGACAGAGTCACTGGACTATAGATTTTTTTAGTAATTTCATTTGAATTTTAAAAAAGCAAATTAAAAAAACCCAACCCCCCCCCCAAAAAAAACAAACAACAAAAACAAACAAACCAGAAAAACCCACTGAAACCAACAAGAAACAATCCTCACAAAACCCCACCTGAAACTGGTAGGAAAATGAGAGCATTTGCTGTAAAGCTCTAAGACATAGTGAAATCCTACCTAATGAAATGAATTTGTGCATATATACACAATTAAGATATTCACTTTGGTACATTAGGACCAAATTTGGTACAGGACCAAAACGTTTGCGAAGAGGTATCCTACAGGTGGACTATGAATCTTGGAAGCTTGTTACTTGCAAGATAGGAGCAGTCTTTGCTAAACTGAGCCAGAACTTTCTATTATTTCTTACAAATCAGTCAAAACAGGTATGCAAGAATTCTGGACAGGAACTGAATTATATCAGGAAGAGAAAAACCACTCTCTAAGGTGGTTTTAATAAAATATATGAAATAACTTCTACTCTTTAGGTGAAGCCATGACTACTAAGAAGTGAGTCTTCATAAAAAAAATATGTAACACTGGATAATATAGAAAAATATATTAAATGCTTTTGAGGTTTGCTACTCATGGTCTTCTAATGTAGCTATTTCTATGCAAATTAAATTATTCTTATCTTCAAAGAAATGGCTCAACCTCTGGCCTTTGGTTTTCAGCACAAGATCATCAGGTGCACCAATATCAAGATGAAACTAAGTGTGATCAAAGTTCATTTTCTAAATAGTAAGGACCACAATCACTTGAAACTGCTCCAGACTAGTGATGTTATGGAAGCAGGGAGGGGAACAGGAAGCAACAGAAAGCAGGTCAGCCTAGAGTTCCTACAACTGGTATTTCTACATTGATTTCTAAACTGGGGTTTTTTCTGGGTTTCAGGAAATCTCTCATTAGCTATTATGAACTGTCTTACTACATCAGATAAACTACTCTACTCAGTTCACAGCCCCCAGGCAGGGGGAGCACTCCACTCCTAGTGTGGAAGAACACATAAGTCTGGCTACTACCTGCAGCTCTTTGCTCTCCTGCCCTCCTATCAGCTGCTATCATTGGCTTAGGGATCTCAGAGATTTATCCCTGCCTACTCTAACTTTAGTTTCTGGCCTTGGTTCTGTTGGCTGTGAAGTCTAAGGCCCCTTGTGAACCCAGTGACCCATGACCTCCTGTCACAGCAGTTCCAATGTTTAAGAACTGTTGAGCAAAACCTGCCCATTAACTGTCTCTTCCTCTAAGAATTTTCAGAGAGCACTACCTAGTTTTAATACAGTAAGATTTAGTAAATAACAACCCTCCCTTTACCTTATCCATCCAAGTAAAGGGATTTTGCAGCAACAAAACAACACCTTTGTCTTCAGTATTTTTCCTGATCATGCCTTGCCTTTTGCTGGCTATTCTCTGTGCTCCTGAACACAGAAAGTGTTTTCAGGAAACTGTCAGTAGGAACACCAAAGCTTTTTATTACTTCTTAACTAGCACTTTGAGTAGCCCCTTTTGACTTAAAAGTGCTATTTTGTAACATGAAAAAATGCCGGATGAAATTGGGTGGTCATGGTATCTGTGAGAACAGGACAGGAGCTGCTCTGTGCTGGGTAGAGGTGGCTGGCTCCCAGACCTACTGGGCACAGCTGAGTCCAGCAGCCACTTGAGCAGAAACTCTGGAGAACTGTATTTAAGAAAGGGGGAAAAAGTGTCAGATGGACACAAAAAATGGGAACAAAAACAATGAGAAAATGGCAGTGGTAAGTCCAGTGGTAGACAGAAACCATTAGGTACAGACTGTGGACAGCCCACACAATCCTCTTACACTACAATAGGTGGTGGTGGTCACAAGGGAACGTGGAGTGAAGCTGAGCCTGGGAAAGGAGGGAGGAAAGGCAGTGTTTTAATGACTCTTGTTTCTACTGCCTGAATTAACAATGAAATATTTATGTTAATAAGCAATGATTCAAATTATTTTTCCCAAAGTCTGCTTAGATGGCAAGTGGTAGTAAGCAATGACCATATCCTTCTATCAACTCACAAGCTCTCCTTTCTGTTCTTCTAGTTTTCTCCCCTGTGCCATTTTGAGAGAAGTAAGCAAGCAAGCATCTGGCAAGGAGCTTGGCTGTTAGCCACCATGGAAGCCAGGGAAGAAAAACACCTACTCCCCTCAAAACTGTTGCTTTTTAGGATGACTTTCTCATGCAAAAGTATTAAACTATTTCTTGACTATATTTACAGCTCATACAATTTATCTTAGGAACACAGCATGTATATCTTCAAAATGCATACTATTTTCACCAATAAAAATAGTAAAAATGGGATCATAAGAAAAAGAAGCTTATTTTCAGTAAAGTTTGGAATTCTTTCAATACACTGCCAGCTATCTTTTGATGTCTTCCAGTCTATAATGGGTCAATGAAACAAGAGAATTATGAAAATTTTCTTGCATAATTTGGCTATGTTTACACGCTATCAGTGTGTGGTTCCAGATATCTTGGTTCCAGAAGATCCAGAAACAAGAATAAGCTTGTGCAGCTAAACCTGCAGATTATATATTTGTACTGCTTCTATTTACTCTTGAAGTCACTTTGCTTAGAAGATTGAGAACTAGCAACTCTCCTGCATCTACCAAGTAAAAGAAGCCTCAGCATCAAACTTTGCTGCTGCTAGGAATGTTTCTGAAAGAGTTCAGCCCCATGACTGCACAAGGAAATAAGTTGCTACACGATATTCCAACAATGTCCCTTACTCACCATTTCATTCTGCAAGGATGTTGCTTCTCCACTGGCTTAATTTAGAGGAAAAGCAGTATTGCAAAAGTACACATTATCACCCCACTTTTGTTAGATGCAGTGCATTGAAAACACGTTTTGTTTGACTATACAAAGTATTCATTTTCAAGGTCTGGACAGTCTTAAGAACTACATGGATTAGAAAAAGGAGCAAGATACATTTTTGGAGACAGTTGCTGCTAATTGATTGACAGTGAAATGATTGCCTGATTACCAGCAAGGCACACAGGAATTAAAGCACCCTGCTAAATTACCACACTTCCACCTGCAGAGGAAAGCAGAGCATGCTCTAGGTCTCTACTACCAGTCAGGTGTCAGCTGGACATACCTGGATGCTAGTGCTTAAACACTCATACTCAGTAGCAAATGCTGCACTTCCATAGGTGCAATAGGTTTATCTCAGCCAGTAGCTAGACACAAACTCAGCCCCTCTATTACTCCCCTTCCTCAATATGGGGAGCAGGAAGAAATAAGATGAAGATCATCAAGATAAATACAGAGAAATCACTTGCCAATTACAGGCAAAACGGACTTGGGGAAAATTAATTTATTGCAATTTAAAATAGATTTGGATAATGAGAAAAAAATAAAAATTAAAGCACTTCTCCACCCTTCAGCCACTTTTATCAGGCTCTCAACTTCACTCCTAACCCCTCTATTCTCCCCCATCCCCAGATGGCATAGGCAAGATTGAGAATGGGGGCTAAAGTCAGTACAATTCTTCTTTACAGCTCCTTCTCAACAGGCCACAGATCCTTCAGGAAACACCCAGTGCTCCAATACAGGGTCTTCCACAGACTGCAATGGGAACAAGTATCTGCTCTACAAGCAGCAGTGGAACACATGCTCCACCATGTTCCTCTCCATGTGCTCCATGGAAATACCTGCTTTGGTGCCTGGAGCATCTCCCCTCCCCTTTCCCTCACCTTATTGTTCCCAGTGCTGTTTCTTACCCCTCTGCCTGTCCAGCATTTTTCCACTTTCCTAAACATGCTTTCATAGCAGCACCACAACCCAGCTCCTGTGCTCCACTTCAGCCTGGCACAGGTCTATGGCAAAGGTGGCTGAGCCCACACAGGAAAGCCACAACACTTTCTCCCAGATGCCACCCTACAGCCCTCCTCCCCAATTACTAATACCTTGCCATGTAAGCCCAAAAATCAGGGCTAGCAGGTCTGCAAGTGCCAGACTTGAAGAATTTTTGGCTTAAGAGATTGCCTCCAGATACTGGAGGAAACTAAGAAGGTCTCCTTAATGGAGAGCTTCAGTGGCAAAATTTCTTTTCAGTGCTGAGTTAGCACTTAGCTCGGGTCTGCTCACTGCTTCTAGTAATCTGGAAAATAAAGTTTACTCTTGCCTTTCAAGCTGAAGAATCACTCTCACAGCAAAGGAGCAAGACTGTCTATTTGACTAGTTTGATCATTCATTTCAAAGATAACTATTGTAAATACAAATACAGTTGCCTAAGCAGAAAGTGAACCTAAAGAATTTATACTTAGATCATAATCTTCTTAACAGAATTTAAGATTTCAACTTTGCGGATCCATCAAAGCAATGTAAAAATTTGAAGTTCCTCCTCTGTTACTGCCACTTCATTTTGAAGTTGTAACAGGAATTACAAATAGCAAACACTAAAGAAAGTTGCATGACATTCAAAAAACATTACTAAGAACAGAACCATGGTACAGCTTTTACAAGTCTCCAGACCAAAGAAGTATACTATGTTAGAGAATTATACATTTCAAAAAATAATCCAATTAAAAAACTTTCATAATTCCCTATCATAGGCATATGACACTTTATTATAACCAAGCTGTCTTCATAAAAAGTACAGAGAGATAGGTGCAATAATAATACACAGTCCCTGACAAAAGCTAATTGAAATAACTTTTTCATGAATCTTTGCACTTAGAACACAATGCAAACAACAAGAGCAGGCTGACATTTTTCATCTTGAACTTATTGCCTGTGTTGCCATCACTACAGTGAAAAGCTAAAATAGCTCAAAATTAACACCTTCATGGAAAATAGAAAGCAAAATACAATTTCCCTGGTAGGTAAGATGTTCAAGCCACCTTCAACTACAGCCTTATTCCACTATTATTTCTCATTTCAGCATCTCTACATTCCCCAGCAAAATGTTACCTTTAACAACTAAAAAGCACTCCAGCAAACATGACAGTGCAAGTCCTGAGACTCTGCAGTGTCTTACATGGTTTAATGAGTAACTTTTACACTGTGTGGTGCTGAGCAACTATTTTAGATTTAGGTCTTTCACTGAAGGAGGTGCACAATTCTAAACGTGCTCTTTAGCCTCACTGTAAGAAAAAAATCCAATGACATAAAAGGATTATTTAAATAACTCAATTTCTCTGTATTTTAGATTTTTCTTAGACAAAAGATCAATGGATTTTCAGAAAAGGGTGGCAGCATAACTTTCTTCCTGTCCCTGCCTACTTTCTGCCTACCCTTTTCTTATAATCATAATTATTTACTGTTGAAGTAAGCAACATGCTATAGTGCTGATATCAGGTAAGTATCTTTTATTGCTCTTGCAAAAGAAATGTGCTTAAACCTGACCAATTATAAACCTCTAAGATCTGTAATTCGTCCATAGCAAAATTACAGCCAAGCACAATAGGTATATTCTCAGGATTTAAACTACTAAACATTTACTAAACCCTGGCATGAACTGGTCTGACCATACTGAATAAAAGCAAGAATTCCAGTATTTCTTGATGTTTTTTTTCTGTCAAAGAGAAAGGATGATTGAAATTTAACCTAGAATAGGTATATTTATCATGAGGAATCCATCAGCACTCCCTGCCCCCAAGGATCTCCAATTGAAGACTGAATCATTAGGTACACACATACCAAATCTGCTCATGTATATCAAAATAAAAAAACAAAAAACCCAGACAAAACCCAAGAAACTTAGTTCTGGCCTTCTTTCAACTTTTTTAGTATGGTACATCACACACAGGTCAACTTTTCCCTTTGGTCTGCACTATTACAGAATTAACACAGACCCTCGTATCTGTAAAAGACAAAAGCAGCTTTTGCCACTGCTTTCAGTTGCACGTGACAGTCACAACCCCTCCTGAAAACTGCTGCTAATCCAAATCTAATTCAAAGTCCAAAACACTCTTGTGATTATACTGTTATCAGTTTTGGATAGCAGTATTCCTTGAGGCAAAGAAATTATTTCCTTTTTGCAAATGATAGTGAGACAGACTATCTTTCCAGCTTTACTCTCAGTTAAGAAAGCTGCACTGATCTGTAATGATTAAGGTATGAAGTATGCAAATTTTCTCCCAGATTAATCTTCTTTTCTCATCATTCTAACCAGCCTGTATTTAAAGAATCAAAGTGTTCAAGAGCTGACAGAGACTAAATGACATCTGCTCTCTGAAATCCCAACACCTTTTAATCTTTTCTCAGGCTTCTTGACAGCCATTTCTTCAACAAAATTCTGGACCACTGTTACCTGTGCCAGCACAGGTGAGAGGACTTAGATTCAGTATTCCAAAGCTGAGAAATTCCAAAGCTACACAGGCATTCAAAAATCAGAATACTTATCTGCTAACACACAATATGAAAAATGGACATTTATTTTTTAAGGGAATAAGACACCATAAAATAAATAAATGACAGCAAAACACAAATTATTAGATATAAAAAATTACCTTGCTGAGTATTCTGTTCTTGAGTTCGATTCACAGTGAGGTCTAGAGGGCTATCCTGTTCTTCCTGAAGGGAGTTTTCCGTTTGGTTCATTTGGATACTTTTACACATCAGACTTGGCTCAAATGATGAACCATTTCTGTTCTCTTGAATTTTGCTACTTTTTGAAATGTACTCAATCGCAAACTGACGGATCATTTTTTTCATTAATTCCTGAGCAACTAGGGGAATGTTAGGATCACAGTTCTGAGGAAGATCTAGAAATAAAAAACAGAGGCAACAGATATATTAAGAACCAAACTTAATCACTTTTCTTATAAAAAGTACTTCCTATAAGCACACAAATGTGTTCACACAAATAAGTACATGTGCAATGAACATATTAATTCAGATGTCTATCAAGTTTTTTTAATGAGCATTCCTAACTGAAGTCACTTGGAAAAACATATAGCACAGATCATTAATTTTTACATTACTCCCCTATCATACCATGCAAGTAAGAGTATGTGGGGTAGAATTACTTATGGGTCTCAGAATCTGTATTGTTGGCAAACAAGTTGAATTTTCATTTGCAGATATTTTGAATTTGAAGAATTTTGAATCCAAACCATGAAAGTAAAATAAGATACGGATTAATACAGAAAGAATTCTTTTCAAATTATAACAAAAATAATTTTAAAGTGTAGTTCTAAAGATTAGTCCGCTTTGTAACATGTAACAGTTGGACTTTTGAGGAACAGATCTTAAAAAGGGGAAAAAAAAGCAAAAATGTGTTCCACTCTGAGATTATAATGCCCGTTGTAGGTTCAGGATTGAAATGTCAAAACTGATATGACACTACTTGAAATGTCCCATACAACTTGTAGTAATACAAAGTTTTAGACTTTTATTGTAAAATCTTACAGAATTTTCAGGATATTTTCAAAGTGCTAGCAATAAAACCACTTGGAAGAAAAGCTTTATTTCCTATTCTAAACCGAATATATCCTAGTTTTTGCTTGTGTATGTAACATTTCAATGGAAAGAAGTACATCATTTTAGAAACAAACAAAAAAAAGAAGGATCAAATGTAACATATGACTTAATTTTAATGTTATCTATCAGCTAGAAAGAAGTTAAACCTTATTTAAAAAGTGTAACTGAAAGTACAACTGTGAATCACCAAAAAGAATCCTAATAGAAGCAACAGAAAAAACAAAATGTAACTTAGGATAAAAAATGTAATTAAGAAACTCGAAGTAAGCTGTGCTACTGCATTGATGACTGCAACACACCACAAGACAATTGACCACACTCAGAGATCTGTGTTTTCCCTTAAACTGGCAGGAGTAGTACCTCATTATCCCACTCTTCCTTCTTTCCTTCAATTCTACACCCCTCCCCTCACAAATATCCTTTTCAATATTTTAACCACTGCCTCATCCCATAGGTAATGAGTGAAACAGTTTTCAGTCAAGGAAGAGGGATTTAAAGCAAATGTGAAAGCAATGAAGAATTGGCTTTTAGGTGAGCCCTGATTGCCTGGAGGAAATACCAAAGGACATGGTTCTGCAGTTACTGGGATAATAAAGTTAATCTGAAACAGATAAAACAGATGATAAACTGAGGGGTTTTTTCATGGAAGTGAAGAAACTGAAAGGGCTGGGTTGGGTAGATGTTTGCATGCTAGTGTTCATTTCCTAATAGGAAGTTTGGAGGATCACACAGCATATTTGATCAAGTATTTTATATGCCCATAAAGCTTTACCCATCTACTATCAAGAGAGTGACTGCCAGCAGTGATCAATGAATGCTGCTCAGATTTAGAACGAATGCACAGAAGATGTTTTTCTTGTTTGTTTCAGGCTTATTTAAAACATCTTCCATTTTGAGAATTCATTTTCACCAACAGAGCATTGCAAGGAATTACAAACCTGCACCTATGAGATCTGCTGTCTATAGCACACAAGAGGGCAGCTGAATCACTGCTCAGATGCCTTCTGTCAAGACCTTTTGGTCTGCCTCGCCATAGTGCTTGGTGAGGCACAGTGAAGCTCTGGCATTTTTAAGCCATCCTGGCTTCAAGAAAACTTACCAAAACAAATCTGCTTATGGTTAAAGCTCTATCTTCCAACAATGTTTCAACCAGATCTCTACCAAAATACCTAAAATTGACAGATGTTTCTTGAAGAGAGGTACGAAGTTAAATTCTGAACTATGGAGGGTATCTATAAAGAGAAAGATCTCTTCCCACCATGTAACCTCCAGGCATAGCAATATAAACAGATACCTATTTCCTGATTCCTAAATAATGAACTCAATAAACATTCAGCTGAAATTTACCATCTTAGAGACACACTTAGAAGTAAAGAGAAAAAATTTCAACAGATAGTGGAGTAGTAAGGCAACAGGTATAAAGTACTGATGCATATGCAAAATACAAGAAAAGAACATGAAAGTTAAGAAATGAAATTAAATAACTGAATTATCTAGGAACAAAAGTGTTTGCGTGACAGGGTAATGGTAGTTCCAGACAATGAAATCTACTGATCATCAGCTTAACCAGAAAACCCAAAAATGTCAATGCCTGTAATCAGAAATTGATACAAAACGAATTATACAAAACTTTATCAAGACTGAGTAGGGTCTGGAATGACCCTACTTACACAGAGCAATTAGTTTGCTGCATGCACACAAGAAAAACTTTGACAACTGATAATAAACTAATGATAATAGGTGATCATCAGTGCAAATGGGAGAATTATTTTACATCCTGGTGTGATCTGCATCTTTAAGAAGCAAAAGACCAGAGAGTACAGGGGACCTGCCATTAGCAGGAAAACACGACAGCCTGGAACAGGCTTATTAATCACCATCTCCTGCATCAATTATTCTAAAACTGCAACACAAAACTAATTGAGAACTGTCAGGTTTTTACTGCCTTTCTATTCCACTTTAGACTCTGCACCAGTAGCCAGTACTGGTCAAACCAATACAATATGGCCAAGCACATACTGCTTTTAAACACTTGCAGGAGTAGTCAGCTTTTCCCTCAGGAGCAAATTCATCTTTTACCTTATCTAGTTAGAATAATAAAGGATTTATTTTTTGTTTTTATAATAATTTCTTCAGTAATAGTTTATTTTTTTGTAATGATTTCCAAATACTCCCTGTGAAGAATAAATGTAGAAGAATTTCTCATATATTCAATGGCTACAGCTATTGGCAGTTTACAGATTTTAAGTTAATTTACTCTAAAAAGGTAGTATGATGAGGGGGTGGTGTGTGTGTGGTGTATGTGTATCTAAGAGCACATACTCTGAGAGATGTGCTCCCAGGTTGCATCTGAAGTGCTCTTGCTGCTAAATGCATATTCAATCAACAGGGCTAGACCAGGTAGTCTTAACTTATCTGCCATAAATGCAAATAGTGTTGCTATCACACTGACTGTTCTGTTATGTAAATCATTAACTGGTAAATCATGGTGGAAGCACCTTGGGAGGTAAAACTGGTAAAACTGTTTATTCAAAGCAGACATCTTTGAGGTCAAAGCAAATTCCTCTGGATTTTACGTAGTTAGGTAAGGAGTACTTCCATGAATGGGAGACTCTACAATCTCTGGGTGGCATGTTCTACTGCTTGCCTGTCCTCATTTTTCCTTACATTAAAAAGAACCTCTAATTTCAACTTGTTTACAATCTATCATTATCCTGCTATGCACCACTGTAAAGACTTTGACCCTGTTTTAAAATCATAGAATATCCTGAGTTGAAAGGAACCCACAAGGATGATCAGAGTCCAGCTCTTGGCCCTGCACCAGACAGCTCCAGGAGTCACACCATGTGCCTGAGATTATTGTCCAAATGCTTCTGGAACTCTGCCAGGCTTGGTACTGTGACGTCTTCCCTGGGGAACCCGTTCCAGTGGCCAACCATCCTCTGGGTGAAGAATGTCTTCCTAATATCCAACCTAAATTTCCCCTGGCACAGCTCTGGGACTGAGGTTGACCTCAGGCCTTGTCACTGGTCACCAGGTAGAAGAGATCAGTGCCTTCTCCTCCACTTCCCCTCAAGAGAAAGCTGTAACTGCAATGATGTCTCCTCTCAGTCTCCTCCAGGCTGAAAAGGGCAAGTGACTTTAGCCACTCCTTGTATGACTTCCCCTTAAAACCCTTCACCACCTTTGCTGCCCTCCTTTGGACACTCTAATGTTTAATGTCTTTCTTATACTGTGGTGCCCAAAAACTGTCTCCAGCACTCAAGGTGAGGCCACCCCAGCCCAGAGCAGAGCAGGACAATCCCCTCCCTTGCCTGGCTGGCCATGCTGTGCCAAGTGCCCCCCAGGACAGGGTTGGCCCTCCTGGCCACCAGGGCACTGCTGGCTCATGTTCAACTTTCTGTCAATCAGGACCCCCTGTAGGTCCCTTTCTGTAGTGCTCCTCTCCAGTATCTCATCACCCAGTCTGTTCCACCCAACATGGGGAAGAGCTTCATCCATCCTGTGATTCACAGTGGCAATCTTCCACCACACATGAGAAATTTGTAATTAGTCACATAAAATTTTGAAACATGGTGAAACACATTTTGGGCAAGCAAGGTATTAGAACTCTGAACTTAGTATCACTACCAAATATTTCTTAATTGTTATCAGCAGATGGCACCAGATAGACTTGGTATGACCTGAATAGGTTTTTTTCCAAGATGCTTTATTAGGAGTTGTGACTATAGCTAAAACTTGCTAAGTTTTAAATTTACATGCCTACATCCGTGTAAACTCCCGTTTTTCACAGTTGTTGTAAAATGCAAGATACCTGTATGTAGTTCATGGATCATGTTATGTACATATATACTACTTCAAACCCAGTAGAACAGTCTCTAAAGGTTTAGAATAAAAGTTAGCCTTAATGTTCCTCTAGTTTCTCTCAGATCACTACAGACCTGATGTTATTCGGATAAAAGAAGACTGAATTTGTATGATATAATCTGATATTTTCTGCTCATGACTGTCAAGGTAACAGTTTGAATGCAAGAGAAGAGAGAAATAAATGTCATGCAATTATGACTAATTGTAATGATTTAGTTTAACTCAAAGCTCATGTTTAGGATTAATACTTCCTCAGTTTATGTCCTGCATGAGCTTGTAACTATTCAAATCTGTACTATTAACTATTCTGCACATTAACATTATATGTGATCACTAGACTGCAATGTTTGTGGTGACAGATTTGACTGTTTGGCAAGACAATGAACAATGAGTTAAAAGCTCCCAAAACAGTGTTCCACAACAGTATTCCATTTATGGAAAACTAGTACTTTTTCATTAAAAAGTCAACCTAATGACTTAATTTGTCTTCTGACACAATGCCAAAAGGTATTGAAAAGCAGCAGGGAATCACAATACCCCTTTAACCTTCAATCCAGTTGTGTGAAGAGCAGGATCAAGAACACATGATTGCTTCTCAATGTGCTTGATAAATTCATTCCATCTCTCCCCTTTTTACATAAAAGCCACATTTTCTTTAAACAACCCCACCTCAACAGCCACTGTCCCAGTGAGGTTCGTATCTCTACTTGTAAAATTGTTCAGGTCACTGTTAGGTCATCAGCACGTTAAAGCAGGGGTACAGCTATTTATTCTGAGCCATGTATCATGATTAATTCAGTTAACTTGACAGACCAATAAACAGAAGGAATAAGTTCACTCTTCTGTTCTCATAAACATTCCACCTTTCTCCTTCCTCTATTCAGGTTGCAAATTTCACTACTCTATATCCAGTCATATTCTATGAATCCTCGTAAATGTAGTTGAAATGATCAAGAAATGCAGGCAGTGAAGACAGTAACACTGGCAGGTAGGTGGTCAACACAAAGTATGCTTTATTTTCTTATGAAAGCAGTGAAACCACATTGAACATTCTTTCCTGATGAAGTTTAAGGGGAAGAGCAAAGCTGTCACAGTTTAACGCACAAACTCTGTCAAAGCTCTCAGTGATTACAGAAAAAAGTCCAGATTTTCAAAGCACAAATTAGATTTCTTAAGACTATTAATCAAAAGAAACTGCAGGTTTTGAATGAAGTAGTGTGTGCAACTCAAAAAAACACCTTAGAAAATAACAGGTTTTTTTTAATCTGAGATAATGTGTGCATGATTACATTGTCATAGGTTTGCTAAATTAAATAGACATTGTCCAAGAAGCGTAACCAGCTTGTGACAGCTATGCAACTGCAAGAAAACTAGAAAAAGACCAGAAGAACTCAAAGTAAAATTCAGGTATATGGTATGGTGGAAGAAAGCCATATTTATGAATGGAAATATTTTAGAACATAACCTAGATATCTGCAAATAGTAAAGAGCTTTAAAAACTTACAGGAAAATTATTTTGGGATGGGAAACATGGCATTGGAGATACTTGACAGAGTAGCCCAGAGAATCTGAAAAGACTCAAGTAATCTCAACATTCTCTCTATAATTTTGTGCCTAAATTCCTTAACTTCTACAAGAGCTTCTCGTGTCTCAGTTGTCTCTTGATGGATCATCTATCCTGAAGATAGAACCTGATTCACAGCTGTTTTCTTTGGTTTTGTTTAAAGAGGTCACATTAATACTGCATGGAAAAATGAGCTTCTAAGAACACACAATGTATATTACTAGAAATAAGGAAAATTAATAGTCCATGAAGAAAATGTCCGATCAAGCTTTTAAACAACGGTGATTCCACGATGTAACAATGATCATGTGTCACATTCTATAATAATCATAGTGAAAAAAGACTTAATATGTATTTTTTAAAGCACACTGTGTTTCTCCCTTAACAAAACAGAACAGTTGAATTTCAGCATTATGTAAGTGGAAAAGCACCACAGTCTACTCTGCTTACACCACCAAAAGGGTAAAGAGAGATGTCATATTTGGGAAGAAAGCATTTGGGTTTCAGACACACTGTTTAAGGGCAACAATCAGTGTTTGATGACAAGAAAGACTTGGGATTTGCTGATGTGTCTGCTGAGCACAGGACTTTCCCACAGACAACTGACTACGAAACTAGTCTTTCACTAATATATGGTGAAGTTGGGTTCCTAAAGGGAATACTTTAGCTGTTTACAGCATTTCAAGAGTTTACCTATTTTGGCAGGAGTTTTATCATCTTTTGCCCCAGATTCTACAGCCAAATTGTCATACATTAATGTAACAATATATCATGGTTGCATGTTTTCAGATCATCTGAACAAGTTTCCTGATACAAAAACCACCCCCAAACCCACAACCAAATCCCCTCAAACTAGTCTGCAAATTAAAAAAACATATATAAATTTCTTCAAAATAAAAGACTAATGGGACTAACAAATGAACTCTCTAATTTGCTCACTAGTCCTGCAAGTTGCTCATAGAGGCCTAAATTAGCTACAATAGCAAGAGAGTAGATCATCTTGAGGAGTTTGCAATCCAAGCAAGTGCTCCTCCATTTTAAAGAGAATCTACAATTAAATTAAAGAGAATTCTACAATTTTCTAATAACAAAAGAATATCTGGCTTGGGACCAGGTATAAGAACTATTCCTTAGCTGAACAATTACTGGAATATTTTTTATGCCTTTCTTCCTAAGTTGCTACTTGGACTCAAAAACCTATAAAAATTCAGAAAGCAGACTTGGGATTTTCTTAGTACAACTCTTCATTCTTCCTCCTAAAATCCAAACCAGTTACTCGAATACATCAAAAATTGGTTTCACGTGCCCTTTACTATTTTTTCCTTTTCACTTTGGGTAATTTGAACAACTTTAAAGACTTGACTAAAACTTGAACTGAAGCAATATTCTTAGTAAATTCTTACTCAAGAATACAGAAATACTTCAGAGAATCACAAAAACAACTGGAAGTTTTGTTTTTCAATAGACAAAACCTCTTCAACCTAGCATTACTGATCTGGCAGATCAAACCTAAAGAAGATGCTAAAAGCAAAATGTTCTTTGTGAAAAACTTAAAAGTCATTCACTCCACTAAGGTGAGGTCATGCCAAGTTTCACTTCTCCCATGACAGAAGTTCCTCTCAATGAGTACAAAGAGAGATCATGTAGCAGGAGCATAAAGCAGACAAACGCTGAAAAACATTGTACACATCAAGACCAAGAAGAGCTCTGACAAAGTAGAAATTTGAAGGAATTAAAATATCTGCCTAGGGAGATGTCACACAATTGAGCCTGTGATGAGAATATAGTAAGACTTTAAGAAGTAACGAGGTGCCCACTTCATTGGACTTTTTATTTCAAATGGAAAATAGCTGGTTTCAAAGAAAGCAAAGAGTCCGAAGGATGGATTCAAAATGCTGTTGCACTCCATTTCAAGTTCTTTAAAATGCAAAAAAGCAAGATGTAGACTGAGTAGACACAAAGTCTATGCAGAAAAAGGTTCTACATACCCCAGGTTCAAGGGCATAATAATTTCTCCCGCTACAGCAATGTAAAAGGGAGAAAACTAACTTTGCTTTCTTCTCCCTCTGTGAAGGAGAGACAGTGTCTGAGACTCTGTATTAAAAGAGAGCTATCACCCTAAGAAAAAAAAAAACAACAAGAAAGTAAGAATAGCTGTCACTCAGCTTTTCTGACATCCACATCCTAAACCCCAGAAAAATCTATGAAAATTGTAGTTACTGCATTTACAGTAACTTCATTCACATTCCTTCAGTCACATGAATTTAAGGAAAAAAATGAGTATTTCTGCTTTTGCTGACAGTGAATCAAGTAACTTTCATGAACTAAGCTGACATGTCATGTACTGACTTCACTCATGTACTGCTCTATCTTGATGAGTGTCGAAGAACAAGAACAGCGAAAGAATTAATATATTTTGACAAGAAATTTTAACCTCCAACTTGGATGCATTTGAAGGAGCAGCTTTCGTGCAAGAAGATCCCAAATCCCATTTTGCAATCCGCAAAGCATATTCTCTCACCTAAAATGCTTTTCCCATTAAAAACCAGAAGTGAGAATTTAGGAACAGAAAATGTTTAAATGCTTAGAATTCCAGAGAATGACACCTGAGGATGGCATGAAACCAAAGTAGCAGCTCATGGTAAAAAGAAAAATCCAGTACTATTTATGAAGATGAATTCAGAAGAATGACACATAATGCAAGGTGACGAAGAGGAATGGCAAGTAGGAAGGGTAGTACTTCATTTGGTGATTCAAGTACGAAAAAGATTAAGGAAAACCAAAGGAATAAAAAAAAGAAACAGAAGAAACATCTATTTCAGTAAATAAAAAAATACTTATGAAAGAAAATTAACCCTGAATAATTTGATTCTGCTAGATTTTTTGTCATACTTCATAATACAAAAGACATGTTTGTATTACCTTTCTTTCGAAAGAGTGCATTTAGATAGTTTTCTGCTTGGCATTCAATCTTATCAGTGTTGGACTGGCCCTGAGATGACAGTTCCTCTGTAGGCGTTGACTGTGAAGAACCGAAAACTGATGCACGATCCTAGAAAACATATGGAGATCATAACATCTTTCAGAAATTAGTCTGCTGATAGTAAAATACACAATTAAATTACTGAGCTATTGAATGAATAGAACCACTAAAAGCAAACTACCTTGAGTCAAAATGCAGAATTGAACTTATTTGCAAAATTCAACTCTCTGACTCTTACTTTCATACCAAAAAATGAGTGTTGTCGAGTAATGCTTAATATAATGCTCATACTTACACTGGCTGTTTCTTTGTGTAAATTACAAAAGGAACATTTCTCATCCATAGACCAGTCAGTTAGCTCTTCTGGCTCACAGTCTTAAAGGAAGAAAAGAAAGCTAGATGTTTTAAACAAGCAAAAATGGATTTTGAGAACAAAATACACTTCCTAAATTTCTCTTAAATAAATATGATATGTATTATTGGTACAATGCATTCAGTCATATGCAATTCTTCAGATATTTTTAAATTCTTGTCTGGCTTGTACAGCTCAAGTTACAAATAGCAGAGAGTGCCTTTCTTAAAAGAAAAGGTAAATTTGTGTAATTCAATTGATTATCTGTCAAAATTACTTGGAGGCATCTGAATATTGCAAGGAAAGCTCTGAATTGCAGACATCATTCTTTTTAACTAAGCATGCAAACTTGTAGTAAAATCAGCTAAGAATTAGGATATGGACTCCTCACCATGTGAGCTACCTGCATTATACTTATAGTATTTTAATTGACTTGATACCACCACCATAGGTAAATCCAAGCCTTATACTCACTTGTAGCTCTTGATAAATCTAGAGAAGTACCTTTATATGTTTTATCAGAAAATGCACTTTGGACTAGAGGGAACGCAGGACTTAAATTGCCCCTATCAAATCCAGTCTTCTACTGAATGGAGGCACATAACCTACTTTCTTTAAACAAGCTACTAAACTCCATTTCAAAAATTAAGAGTTTTCAGCCAATACCCTTCTCTTCATGAACACCAGTTACTTTAAAACTTTTCCCAAACCAACTGCGCTAATAATTAAAATTAAGCTTCTAATTTATTGTTTAAAATTGCACATGGCAACTTACTCCAGTTTGCTTTTGTGGCAATTTTATTCTTGTACCCATGAACAATAGCTAGGAATCTAGCACCCTGATGCATTTACAGACTTTCATTATCCCCTTTACACTTAATTTTGTGGCTAATCTAGTCCACCTGGTTTTCCTCATGAGACTCAACTCCATCTCTTCTGCACAAGTCTCATTTGAACACCTGTTTCCTGAACATGGGGGCCAAGATCTCAAGATGAGATCTTTTACCTTTACACCAGACTTCCTTCCACTGCAGGCAGTACTTTTCCTACAGTATTCTAGTTAAGCAGCAGCCTTTATTACAGCTGTAGTGTTTTGGAAGGTGAATCAAAACATGATTAACTACAACTCCAAGGTCTTCTCCATCCTGTTCATTTCCAGCTCCTGTGCTTACAACAGAAACAACTTTTTCACTCCCATTATTAATTACCAGGTATGTTTCCTCCTTTTCTCCTTACCACCAAATTACAGTCAGTTCTGTTTGGGGACGTTCTTGAGATTATCTACTTTCAATAGCACATGATGGTAGCCTGATCTTGGCTGGCTGGCTGCCAATCCCCCAGTCACTGCCCCTCTTCAATAGGGTGGGGGTGAGGAAGTAAGATGGTAGGGGAGAACATCAGGGGGAGAAACTTGTAGGTCAAGATAAAGACAGGGAGATCACTTACCAGTTACTGTCACAGGGAAGTCAGACTCAACTTGGGGAGAATCAATTTCATTTATAGCCAATAAAAATAGATTTGCATAATAAGAAAGGGAAAACACTAAACCACCTTACCACCCCTTCTTCACAGGTTTCAGCTTCATTCTTTCATTCCTGACTCTTCTACCTCCTTCCCCACCCCAAACAGCGCAAGGAGGATGGGAAACGGGCTGCTCTCAGTTCATAACAGTTCCTCTCTGCCACTTCCTGCTCTTTTTGCCCCAACTTAGGGTCTTTCCCATGGGCTACAGGCCTTCATAAACTACTCCAGTGTTCTTCTCACAACTGCAGCTCTTCATGAACTGCTCTAGTATGTGTCTTTTCCACAGGGCAGTCCTTCAGGAAGAGACCACTCCACAGACTCACAGCTCCTACAGAAAACGTGCTCCTGCATGGGCTCCTCTGTATGGGCTGCAATTCCTGACAGAGGCCTGCTCCAGCATGGGACCTCCAGGAGCTTTCTTCAGGTCATCTCCACCTGTTCCAGTGGGTCCTCCATGGGCTGCAGTGTGGTATCTGTTCCAACATGGTCCTCCATGGGCTTCAGGTTATACATGCTTCACCATGGTCTTCTCCAAGGGCTGCAGATGAATCTCTGCTCCAGTGACTGGAGAATCTCTTCCCTCCTCCTTCTCTGACCTTGTTGTCTGCAGGGTTGTTTCCCACTGCCCACTATCCTCCACCCTCTTCCTACAACTGCTGAACTTTTACTTCTTCTCAAAGATATTATTAAAAAGGCAAAATCAGAATAAAATTGCTCTGAAAAATAAAGGTTCTGCAGTTGAGCACAAACGAAGTAACTCCATATTATGATTTAAATCTAGTTTGCTCAGGTCTAAAATACTAATTTAGAACAGAATTCTGTATTATTGTACTGTATACTTTCATGGATGCAAACCAGCAATTTTTACAGGTTGGACAGCTGATGATTAAAAACAGACATGGTATTTTTCTTGGCTGGACATTAACAGGAGACAATGAGTCATTTTTGCAAAATTAATCTACCTGTCCCAGCCCATTGGAGCTATTCCTTTAGGAGGTCCACAGCATAAAAACACTAGTCCTTCAAAACAAGTTTGTTATTTTCTTTACAACCATGAAAACTCTATTTATCAACCTTGGGATTCTACACCTAATTCTAGGACAGATTTTATACTTTCAGAGAAGTTCTTCTGCCTTGGAATCCTGAATTTCCACTGGTAAAAGTCAAACTGGAGAGCAATCCTTGTGTATTGCCAAAAAAGCAAACATTAAGTAACACCAGCTCTACCTAACACTAAACCCTTTATTCAAAGTAGCATAAATCATGTATAAGACATATTAAATCTGCCACTGAGCTAAGCAAAACTAATATGATCAGATATATACAAGATATATCAAAATGCCAGACAGCCAACAGTCTCAGGTCACCACCACAGGAAACATCCTGAGATCAGTATTAACTACAGATAGGCAACCATACTCTCAGAAAAATCAGAGGCACAGACAGCACTTAAAGCCGAACAAACTTTCCTTGGTGCACTGAATTTAGGATGAGGATCATCTTCCCATTTTATCTTGCTTGGGGCTAGATTTGCAGACAACCTATAATGCATGCCAGCCCATGAGAAAAGGTTGCTAAGACTGTGCAAACAGGATTTTAATACTAAACACAGTACAGATTATTATTTCAAACCAAAACCCTTTAGCACAAAGCTGTTAAACTGATTTCCAATTATTAAGAATAAAATGGTGAACTTTGACAAAAAATAATTTTTTTTTCATTTCTTAAGAGGCTCACATCTTTGTTTCCCCAAACCACTTCACCCAAGAAGTAATGCCAAATTAAGTAAATTAATTCAGACATATATAACACAAAACAGATTCCATGTTTATATCATAAAATACAAAATAATTGTCTAGTAAATCCAAATACAAAATAGCTTAAAAATTCAACTCTTACTTATCAGTATTTTCTGATTATAATAACATCCCAAATGATTTTCCAGCTATTTGTGACAATTTTGAACTTATCACCCCCTTTCTTTTTATACAGCACTACTGCTTCCTAATAAGTCCATTAAAACAACTGAAGTATTTATCAAGTCTTTAATATTTTTAATTTCATAAAAACTCCAATTCAATTAGATTTATGTTTCTAATATAATTTTTTACTACTATAAATACTCCAAAACAACATAAGGAAAAATAAAAGCTTTCATTCTGTACAAAGACGATTTTTTTCTGGCAGAGAAAGAGCATTGAGAGCCGCTTTCCTCCAACAAGACCCAGCTTTCCCTCAGAGGTTAAGAGAATAGAACCCCAGCACATAATCCTCCCAAAAAGAAAGTACACACATACCACCCTATTGGGTGAAAAGCTTTTTAACAGTCTAGCTAACTATCCATAATTAGAATGTAAAGAATAACAATTTAGATGTGAATCTACTTAGCTGAAAATGGGAATAAGGAAAGGATTAGAAAGCCCTAAAGATTCAACGACATAAGAAGCCTCAGTTCAAAGCTTGAGCCAAGGTCATAAGCCAAGATACAGAACTTGACCCCTTTGCAACCAGAAGCTGCAGAAGCCAAGCAGTCAGGAAAACAAACTGGTGCTGAATAATGGTGACAAGAACCACTTTTGCAAGTCCAAAGTTAATCTGACATATACAAGAATTTCAAGACACAAAAAAAGGTTCAAAAGGTATTTTCTTGGAAAAGTCTAGGAAAAACTTGAAGTGTACCTTTTACCATTTAAATTTGTCATTACAATTTATTATTCATTCAAGTTTAAGAAAATACAATGCAATATTTTAATCTATAGATGAAATACTATTTCAGGACAGAACTAAGGAGGAAATATATCAGTCATGCTACATTTTATGCACATTATTGATTTCTTTCATGTCACAATAGATATAGCCAAAAACAGAAGAGGAAAAAAAATGCAAATGTATCCAAGCAGCATATATTTCAGCCAATTCTCACATATTTCTGCCCAAGAAAGCCACGTAATTTCTTGAGGTATGTTTGAGGAAACACACTTTTACTAATGAGCCATAATATTGCATGTTGACAGTATTAGTTTAGTGGTTATGATGAGAGTCTAAAAAGATGCAGTAATTCAGGCATATTGCTTAGAGTCTAAAAACATGAGTTCTAATTCTACCAGTCTCTTCTTTTAACTAAGGCAAATTATTTACTTTGTATCTTAGCTTCATTATCTGTAAAATGTAAGTGGCACTTATGACAGCAGAAAGATTTGTACAAATTTTACTTGAGAATTCTGTATTAATCTTTACAACAAAATTCAGATTTCAAATCAGAAATACTACATACTATACTAATGGTAAAGCTGACCTCTACTGTGCCAGTATAAACAATTTCACCCTGCATTACTGAAGTTACAGATACTGTATCTAAAGAAATTAACCAAAAACAAAGTAAGGTGGGCATCCCAAGCTACCATGCCATCTCTATTCTGCAGCTGGCTCTGGAACTAAAGTCAATTTTATAGATGCATCACACATGGAAATAGGCTTTAATTGTTAAAGAACTCTTGCACATTACTGACAAAATTTTTCGGAAATTGAAAAAAAAAAGCTCTGAAATGTTGCATTTTAGATAACCACAAATTTAATTTGCAAGGCAAAGTCAGAAGGGCATCAAATAGCAAAGATATGCAAGTAATGGAAATATCAGATATAAATAGGTAAGAAATCTTCAACAGCATGAGACAAATAAGTTAAAGTTTTAACTTATTATTTATTATTTTTTATTAATAATAGTTACTTATTATTTAATTTACCCCTAAGACAGCTCAAATACCTGCACACATAAACTCTAAAGAAGCAATATATACTTTACTGTGTAGTGTATCATGCCCCTTTAACTGTAGCTTAGACTTTGTCCACTACCTCATTAACTCGGTGCTTTCTGCCGTCTTACCCAAAAGAAAAAAAAAAAAAATGAAAAAAGTAAGATACTGCACATTTATTACAATATCCTGTTTCCTTTTCAAATATGCTTATCACAGCAGATGAGAATACTAGTCATGAAAAAAAGCTTTAATCCAACTGTACATATTTCTTAAATGTTTTTATGTCTTATTAGTGGCATGCCTAGCTTGAAGCAGGAAAAAATATTCTGAAAGCATCAGGAAAGTAGTATTCCAAGTTCCTCCCCTTCTCCATGAAAATATTGTGTTACACATATGATACAGGCCAAGGAACTTGCACATTATGAAGGGGACAAAACCATAACCAAGTTAAAGCAATTTCTCCATAAGTATTCTAAATAAAGGTATACAGTATATGCCACTCTGCCTCATGTATTAGCACTAAATAAGTGATATCCTTTACAAAATATGCTATCAGACAACAAATTGTGAAGAAATGGGATGGAGCATTTTTAAGGTTTGTTAATAAAAATAACATTTTTTTAAGTCGGAAAATGAACTTGGCAAAACAATTCTTTCAACACTCCAAAACAATTTTTTGATGTATAGTCCCCATGTTGTCAGAGATAAATAATTCCATACTTAACTAAGGGCTAATGTGTCATTGACAGCTATTGCAGCAAAACCAAAACCCATTTGGACTAATTCTAGGTCTTACAAGGGTAATGGAAAAGGTGTGTGTGTGTGTGTGTGTGTGTATATATATATATATATATATATGTATCTATATATCTATATCTATCTACACACACACACACTTAAGCATACTATGACATCATATATATATATATATATATATATATATACACACATATAAGGTATTATAAAAATTAAAAGTTTGGTGTATATATAATAAAGATGTAAAAAAAGAGTATATAAAACCCATACACTTTGTTGACCACAACAAGCCCAAACTAGTATCCACTACCTTCATTTTACCAATTAACATCAATTGGAAGCTGAGCACCTTGTCTGCACTTTCTAGAAGATGTTCAAAAACAAAGTAGGAGATGCACTATCCCAGAAGAGTAAGTAATTCTCATAAGAGCTGCGCAGAAGAGCTTAGCTAATCCAAATTCCCCTGTATGGGAACAAAACCTAGGTATCATTCTACCTAGTGTTTTGCTTATGCACAGTATAAGCAAAGGAACATTGGAAATGAGTAAATAAACATTGGAAAGAAAAGCATTGGAAGATTTCCTTTTTCAAATTCAAGATATATACTTGAAACTACCTTTAGCTAAAAGAAAAAACAGTAAATAAAGGTCATTGCTCTAAAAGCTGGCTCATTTACCTTCAAATAAACTGAGGTCTCTTCGTAGCCTTGGTCCATAAAGCCCTTCTAAAATACTTTCAAAACCTGGAGACAAAAGAAACATTTAGAACAGTAAATCAAAAGTTTCTTAAAAGAAAGCAAATTCCAGAGACCTGGCAACAAGTATCCTCAAATTCTAAGAGCAATTCCAAAAACTGTTATATTTATCAAACAAATATTTACTCCTTCCACTATGGTACTACTCAACAGTATTAGAAGATAAAAATAAGACAAGGCAACAGCCATCTGCCCACAATCAGCCTATTAAGCCATGCCCCAACAACCTCATTAGACTTAAAATAACTACCACAGAATCCTAAAGGTGGGAGGATTAGCCTCATAGCTCTAAGCAAGTGAAGGAGTTTCTGTCTTAGCCTGAGAATCAGTGCCATGTACAGAGAGAAGAAAAAAAATGAAAAGAAAAAAAATTAAAACTTCAAGATCAGAAGCTTCTCATGATCTCCTGAAACTACATAATCTGAGTAGACTAATATTACAACAAATAGAAAAAAAAAAAAAAAAAAAAAGCTTCTTTTGCTTCTGATACCATAACAGTGCTATCTAGTCCTCTGTATCCGTACAAAAACATTTTAAAATTGAGGATTAGATAAATCCAATTATTTTACAGATTTACCAGCTAGTCTGTTTAGGTATCTGGTAAAAATTAAATACTTCAATAAGAGTGATGAGACACAGAGCAAATCAAATGACTGATAAATAAATAGAATTTTTTATCAACCCCAAACACACAAACAAAAAAAGCATGACAACTGATGAAATATGGTGACAATTTACAGCATCAATGTAACACAAGTTTTGTTCAATATAGAAAGTTTCCAAGTGCCCCTTCTTCTTCCAAATAATAAGCTTATTTGAAAATAAGAGGATAGTTCAAAGCTGCATTTGAAGGTTCTCATTCTTCATACTAAAGGCCTGTCTGTAGCTATTTTGCTAGACCAGAACTCTGCAAGACTATTTTATTATCACACCACATAAAAATATCAAAATCTTCAGGAAACAACTGCCATCAACAAAGACCATTCAGAATCACAAAATTTGCTCATCATGTGATTTCTTTCAAGACAACACAACATCCTGTTCCCTCACCAAAAGTTATATTTGCTTTTTGGTTTAGATTGTATGCACGCTAGAATAAGGAAGAATAAGTATATACCATATTTGAACCAGACAAGGGAAGCTATCTCAACACATAGGAGCTGTTCAGTTTGCTAAGTCAAATTTTGTTAAAATTTGTATTGCAAAGTAATTTTAATATATGGACTATACTGTGAATCAATTATAATCTCTACAAATCTGCTATGTGAGCTATAAATAGATTTATAGCTTTATATCTTGAACTGATATGGATTTCATCTTCCACTTTTTTTTTTTGTAATAAATATAATACCATGAGACAACACAAATTAAATGACAAAACCACTGTCCTCTAACAAATATATACACACACACATCTTTTAAACAGCCTACAAGAACCCAAAAGCAAAAAACCTAAAGCTCAGGCACACACTAAAATTTACCTCAAAGCATCATCCAGTGACTCTTAGATTCAATATAATATAAATTCACATAATTTTGGCATTGCACAAATTCTCTATTCTTCTGTTTTCAAAGGGTTACAGACAAAAAAGGCAAGAGAGATGAAGCCTGAAGTTAAGATAGCAATCCTCCAAACACAACACAGCAGAAATACAAAACACACCATGTGTATTGCCATTACTGTTACAGACTGAAAGCCATTTTAGGACAGCAGATAGTTATGTTCTGCCAAGTTACTGTCCTTGGATAAAGAAATGAATGAAGCAGCTCTTGGAGAAAACTCTGCTTATTTCAAAAGAGCAAACAGCAACTCCTATTTTTCAGGACTTTGTCAATCCAACAACAGGAAGCTTGTTTACCATCCCAGTCAGCACCCAAAATCTCCCTGGTCTTTGAACACCTACCACCCTTCCCATCCTGTGGAGGGTGGTTCTTGTTTCTGCCTTTACTTTCGTCCTTATCTGCCTGTCCTACTACCTGCTCCTGCCTATGCAAAACCATGAGCACAGAAACCCCAGCTCTGTGAACAGCAGTTTCTCAAGGAAGACTGCAACCTCCAAACCGACTTCCATATAGCTTGTATTAAAGATGGCAATTAGCACACTGTGAGAGTTGTTGGGGTTTTTTTTTCTTTTCTTACCCTGAGGAAAGTATACAACAGTCTGCTTCTTTGCTAATTCACCAAACGTAATTCTATCCTATCCATCCAAAGGGCTGCTTCTCTTCCTGAAATATTACAGAACTTCTCCAAGGAGCCACAACAGACTTACCCCACCCAACCATTTGCTTCCTCACCTTTAGACACTGGATGCCTTATTTTAAAAGACCACTTACTCGCACAACCGAAGAACATAGAGAGTATTTTTTCAGGCCTTAGGCTAAAATTTTCCCAGAAAGCACTTGTGTAACTTCCATGCTCCACAAAGTACTACTGCCTTTCAGCAGAATTGATACAATTTTAACCTAAACATGAAGATATATCTTAGTTTCTAGTACTGATGAATGAATGTTGGCACTGATTCCTAAAATGTAACCATCTGGACACAAGCAGTTCAATAAATCTTTGTTTTCTTTCTTGAGTCAGTATGCTTAAGCAAACAGTAGTAGCAGCTTTCCAGAACTCTCCAGAACGTGAAGAGCCTACAGAAACCAGTTAGAAGTACAGTTTGCTTATATTTTCAGTAATGGAAAAATTTTGCTTCAAAATAGTTTTACAGAATTTGCTGTCTCATGGTGGTTGATTGCCTCTTTGATTCCAAGCTGCCTTTCAAAACTGTTACTCAAGATCTGACACTTTATAGCTCCAAACTGAAAAGCAACACTTGGCTCTACTAACTTGCAATACCCCAATCTGTCAAACTCCTTTCTCTAATAAATTTATTATATCTTCATGTAGAAAGAATCAGCTTTCTTTATTTAATCTGACACCCTTCAAAATTCAAGACAGGTTTCTCCAACAGTCTTCATAAGTAGAAATTTGTGACAGAGCTAGTCTCTTAACCCAGTTACACGTTTCCACAGTTTGTATTTCTGAATAAAGCTGTGAATGGGCTTTTTCCTCCCTATATTAACTCTCCCTCCCACCTTTCTCCCACCAACAGATACTGCATTCTTCACTCAGGGCTGGGATGGGACAGAACTCCCACAAGGAGGGAGGATGAAGCTGTGACCTCCAGCAACAGGAAGGGGGCTCTCTTTTTCCACTGGTAGCTATTGGGGTACCAAAAAGCCAAACAGGCCAGGAACAAGTTCTATCAGGTTTGGCATATAAGCCACAGGACACAGCCAAGGCCCTCAAAAGGAAGCAATAGGTGACAGTAGCTGCAGACTTGCATGGGGCTTCTGCCCAGCAGCTAGACTGGCTGTCTCAGAAGTTCAGCTGTTACCTCTGGGCCAAACTCGCAGTGTTACAGAGAAACTCTTATGGCTCATCTGGCTGGTAAAAATATCATCTGTTACCCATCTACTTGGCCACCATGATATTGCCAAAACTGATCTTCAGCACACCAGGGCTAACTACAGGAGCACAGGGGCAATGATGAATGACAGCAGGTGTCAATGTAATAAATAACAAGCCTAGGTGTTGATACAGGATGAAGGCTTTCCTTGGGCAAACAAACTTCCAGTGGGATCAACATCTGACTACATGGCTGCAGGCAGGACTTCAGCTCTTATGACATTAGGATCCTTTGAGAAACAGACTGCTTGAGAAAGACAGGATCTATTTGATAATGGAAACCCATCATTGCCAGTGGACTTGCCTCATAATGAGGTCTTCAAACTTCTCAGGAAAGTGGAGACTAAAGCCTAGAAAGGAAGAGAATGGCAGAGAGGGCAAATGCACACAAGGACCTTACAGTGCCCCTGAACAAATGTGGTAAGCAGGAACACACCTTAAGTAGCTGGATATGACAGCATTCATCTCAGGATGCAAGCACAAGGGATAATAAACCAGAGCATGTAACAATCTTACTGGTGAGACAGTTCACACAAATGCAGTGGATGGATACTGGCATTTAAGAAAAGGGGAAGTGAGAAAGTCAAGAACAGTGCTTAGATTTTAACTTAAACAAATACAGCCTTAGTGTGGAATGGGCTACAGGACATTTAAAAATCTACAGGATTCAACCAGGTGAACATCATAGTGAACATCTGTTACAGACTGCCAATCAAGGGTAAGTAGATGAAGTCTTCAAAAACCAAAAATACCACCCAAAAACCACCATCACAAAAAAAATAAGGGAAAACAAAAAAAAAAGGCTGCACAATCACCAAGACATATGCTGAAAACGCAACATGCCAGTGGACAAGCAACCCAGGGGATTCTGTGGTGTCTGGAGGACAAGCCTGCCTGAGGAGGTGGACAAGCTCAATAGGAGAGGCCACCATCAAGCTGCTACTCATCATTAAGTAAGTGATAATCAGTGATGTGACAGTTAACAGTGGCCTTGGGCACAGAAGCCATGAGGAATGCAGGATCCCAAGGGAAGTGAGGAACTTGAGTAGCTGAGTAATTTTCTGTGGGCTTAGTAATCACTGATTTACATCCCTCCCCCAGGATGGGGGGAGCACAGTGGAAATAGAAGTACTGTCTTGTCTAAACCATAGAACATGGGCCAAGGGTCTATGGCAAGGTTTTTATTGAGCTATCCTGCTAGCTGTTTTATAAAGTCAAAGAAATTGCAAGGTGAAGAGCAATTAACAAAACCAAATATTTCACAAATTCCAGTATGTTAAGAGTCTCTACAAGTTTACTCAGATTTAAAACAGGATTATTAAGTCCAAAGGAAGTCTTTAGTTGTCTTCACAACTTTCTACTTAAAATCTTAAAGAGAAGCTACCATTCAGCTGCTCACAAAGCTTAAATCATAAAGTTTTCCATAGTGTTTTATCACTTTAAACTACTTAGTGTCTGAAACATCATAGAGCCCATCTACACATTAGAGAGTGCCACATGTGAACAGTGCAGGCTGTAAAATTCTTT